GACAGGATCTGCAGCATGCCCAGTTTGCTAGATTGAACTGGATGAATAGAGCTCTTGGAAAAATATGAAACTTTAGGTAATCCAGTATAATACTTATTATGATTATATAATTTCTTTAAAGCCTTGCCACATCAAAAGCAAACATGGGAAATGGTCCTACATTCCATCTTTTCTATGAGTACAAGTCAAAATGATGGAATGCTATGAGGCAAGCTCTTGTAGAAATATTTGGCAAACTTTCTACCTGACTTCTCTGATACACATAACTTATGGTAAATACATATAAATCAAGAAGTTAATGGAATTATCCAAGAAATGTAATATATTTGCTGCATGAAGCAAAGAATGAGATGATTCCTCTTTATTTCCATATCCAAAACCTGATTAGATTAGCAGTTTATTTAACATTGCCACTGCAGCAGAATTCTACAATGGAAACAATAGGCCAGATTAGGAAACATAGGACTCATAGAACACAAAACTCTTTCTTCTTAAATGATGTTTACCTAATTCTCAGTACCTGCTGTCTGAGAAAGCATTCTGCAACAGTCATAATATAAGTGTCTTATGGCAGATTGAAGTCTTAAAACATTTATGAAATAAACTTGATGCAATTAAGTCAGCTGCTTTATGCGGTACAATGCTATTTATCATGTAAAAAACTATTAAAACTTTCTTCAAATGTTAGGAATTGATTGCTGTAATGCTTTACAATAATGATTATACTGTGACATATATATTAAAAGCATTATGGGGCAGTCAATACTTAATGTCTATCTAGTGTTGTTTGAGCTAAATTATGTGTTATCTTTAATATATAGAATGCAACCATTATAAAGTCTGGTTTTATTAATTCAGTCCTACTGAATCATTAAAAATCATGAATAGATTTTTTATGATGCTCAATGAGAACCTTGAATTTTCAAATACATCTGCTAAAATTGATCCAACTATCATTTTTATTTTCTTGGATTATTGAATTGGGTTAAATTTACTACGCCCATGCAAGTCATATAATTAAATGCTTTGTTTAGCCTTGTGCATCTATTCCCCAAAGCTGCAAACTAGCTATAGTGGCTCAAAGGATTTGTACTATTGCTTCAGAATCTGCCCAAGATTTCCTTGGTGCCTCTATATTCACAGAAGACTTTCAAGTTGCAATACTTAGCAAAGCAAATATCCCAAGCTTTGAGAAGTGAATCCAGCCCAGCAATCTGCTTGTTGAATGGTTTGCACAGCCTAAGGGCAGACTTCTATTATACTGTTGTCATGACAGTACTCTAGTTATTGCAACATTTCTTAAACTACTTTACTCTAGTCTGAAAGCTTTCACAATGACATTGAAATAGGTATTTTCCCCTCTCATTTTCACGTCAGAAGTAAGGTGATTCAGAATTCCACCTAATTCACCCACATTTCAGTCGTTCAGAGATCATACTACTTGCATCTTTGATGCCACTGTTTATTCGAAGATTTAAATTTCCATAATTTGCTATATATCTAAAACAACTATTTTGAAATAATTAGTTGAATACATATAGTAATAATAACACTAATATAGAGACAACCAGTTTGATCTACAGGATAGTTAAGGGAAGAGAGTAGCAAAGCACAGACCCTGAATTTAGGGGCCACTCTAGTCTGAGAGTGCTAGTCACCCTCAGCCCAGTCCAGCTCCCAGGGTTGTTATTGCCATGAGGAAAACAGGAGAAGGAATATATGCGGTCTTGAGTTATTTACAAAAATTATAAAAGCAGCATACATATAAACAATAAGCAAGTCTAATATCATTCTGAAGCTATTAAAACAAAACATCAGTTATAGAGATATGGATGTGAGTCTAGAAGTCTGATTCTCTTTGCAGATATTTTTTTTACTTCTTATTAACAATATCTTAATAAGCAGTAGGACATAGTTAAGTTCATAATATCCTTTTTAGATTACAAATGTAAATATATTTTACATTTTAGATTACAAATGTAAAATATCATTTTTAGATTACAAATCTAAATATATTTTCTTTTTAAAGAAAATTGTAAAAGAATAGGATGTAAACCCTGTATATGACAATTTGTAATTAAAGTAGTTTCTATGAAGTTTTAGTTATTTAAATAAAACAGCTGAAATACTTTTAAATCCTCATTCTTGTACCAGGAAAAGGGTTAGCATCATATTGTTAACACTATCTAGGAAAAACTGCATTCCACATTGTACACAAATTATTGCCTTGAGTTGTCAAGTACGAATGACATAAATAGTGCCAGATGTTTCTTTTGTAGCAAGTACTACAGAAAATTTCATAATTTCCAGTTAAATACAACTGCTGGATAAAGTCTCACAACCAAGAGGGTCCTAACAATAAATGTTTTGTTTACTTTTCTATGAGGAAACAGATGTTAAAGTCTCATCTTCAATGATAATACTTGACAGTTTCCAACCTGACTTGTTTTGGTCTCTCTCAAATATATACTTTCTGATTGTAATTAAGCCCAGGGAAAAATCTGTCTCTTGATTTTACCGCCTGAAGCTGCAGCTGTTGGCTGACATTATCAAAGCCTCACGATTGCAAACTCACGTGCAAATCTCATCAAGAGTAGACATTTCTAATTAATTCCAGAAGTCTTTCTTTTGTTCAGATCAGGAGACAGAAGAAAAATAATGATCAGCTTCCAAACAGTGGGTGTTGAGCTTCAGCATGGATATTTTAAAAGCTCTAACTTGGCTGCCCCACCAGAACTGCAGAACAATTTTACAGTCAATTGGCCACAGTATTTGGAACTCTACATCATCATCTGTAGTGGATGGTAATGTAGCTAATGTAACTACAGATAGAATTGGTAATGACTCTATCCCAATGAGGTGGAAAGCAATAGCTCCAAAGGGTATTTTTACCACTTGGGTCATTATCTTATTGAAAAGATATATCATACTAGTTTATGGGTCCAGATTTTTTTTTTAGTGTGTATAGTATCAACAGTATGGCTTGTGTTTAAAAAAGAATAGACAATTGTGAGTATGCAACAGGATAGTAGTTTGTTGAGAGAAAAGGCCGCTGAGGCATCTGGTGGTCACTTAAAGAATCATCAGAGAGAAGATTTTCAAAAGTTTTTGAACACTGGGTGTTCTCCAAATTTGCACAAAACTATTTGTGCAAATCAGTATTTGGGGGAGGGGAAGTCAGATGTCCATCTTTGGTTTCCTTCAATATATGAAACCAATTTTTTTTATATTTAACCTTTAAGGCCCCAAAGGTGCTTTTCAAAAAGCAACTGGACTTTCTTGGTTTTTATTTTTCTTTGAAAATATTTCGTTTCTCATCGAAGAAACTTTTTCAGTTCTGAAGTTTAATTCTGAACTAAAAAAGCTTCTTGGATAAGAAGAAAAATGTTTTCAAAGAAAAAAAACAGAAAAGTCCAGTTAACTTTTGAAATGGATAATGACCTGGATGATTGAGAATCTCCACAGACGTTCAATATTTAAGGCAGTTTTTTTCCCTATTGCTTTCTCTTTTCATCTTTCTGTAATTGCCTTCAACTCCTCCTCCATAGATACCACGAGAGTAGAGGCAGTATAAAGAACTTCTTTTCTAAATTCAGAAATATTAAGTTTAAAGGTGGCACTGGGTTTTGCAATGCATCAATGATTGCACTCCGAAACTTAATGAAACTATTTTTATTATTGATGCAATAATTGGCTCAGCTTAAAATCCTATGAGCAAGGAGAGAACAATAGCCAGGAATTATCCGCAGGGGCTGGGGAATAACTTGTGGAAAGGGACAAAGGGCAAAGAGTTGAAGATTCAGAGGGGTAAAGTGCTAAGGTAACTGTTGGGAATGAAAGCAGACAAAAAGGACTGTAGAAGATACAAAGCAACAGAGAAAGCTATGGGAGTAATCAGTAGGTAAAGTGCCTACAGGTACTCTTCAACATACAACTGTAATTGAACCACAGTTTTGGTTGTACATTATGACAGTTGCAAAGTGGGTCACCACATGACTTTGCCTAATTTTTTTTTCATTTTTTGTCATGGTTGTTAAGTAAGCAATCATTAAGCAAACTGATCATTTGCTGTGGGGTTTTTTTTGCCAGAAAATGGAAATAAGCAGTGGTTTCCAGCACAAACATCCTAAATCGTGACCACTTCAACACAGGGCACTGCAAATGGATGTAAACATGGGCTGGTTGCTGAGTGTCCAAAATACAATCATGTGACTGTGGAGGTTTGGTCATTGGAACTCTGAATCTGAGATGTATCTCTCTTTTGGGGAGGGGGTCCATCATAATTTTGAATGGTTGCTAAGGAACCTATCTTAAGGACTACCTGTACTGGCAGAAAGAAGCTTATGAGACAGATATACAGAAAGAGGGCATAAAGTTATTTGCATTCTTTCAGGTCTCCTGATGCCTCCAGCCATACTTTCATATTTTTCTATATATTTTATATGTCTCATATATTTTAAGCAGAGTCTTACAAACAGTAGTATCTTTTAACATTCTCAACATATTCTTTGGAAGGAAAGCAATATGGAAAGAATAAATAAATACAAAATACAATGCTGAGGGAGAATTATAGAAAAAAAATGCACACATACATGCATAAATATATTAAAAAACTGCATATGAAACCAACAATTTTATGTACTGATTAGCTCAAATATTTAATATTTAATATCTAAATCAACAATTATGCTAATTTAAGATGTGTGAACATAATTACAAATTTTGGAAGTATGAATAAATAAATGATATAAATGATATTTTAAATAATTATTTTATAAAGAGTAATTTGGTAGACATAAATTATATTTATGCATTTTATATTTAAATTATAATATCTATTTCAAAATAACTATTCTTTTCTAAGATTGTAAAATAAAATAAATCCATGTATAAATACATGTAGATCATACCAAAATAGCAGAATACTGTTACTTTTATGAAATAAATGTGCTATATGGACATCAATATATGTAACTCTATAATAAAACAACTTTTCTTACCTCAAACGTAGTTGATAAAAGTGCAGAACGTACTTCCAAATAACCAAGCTTCTGTAGAGCAAGGAAAACAGAGCAACGTGCAGATTCCAAGAAAGCAGCTTCAGGTCTAAAAATAATTGCAATTTTAAAATGACCAAAATTAATTGGCTCTTTAATTGGTTACACGGTTTATTTTACAACATAAATAATAGAAATGCACAAAGCCATAGTTTGCCCTATGCAACCTTTCTAAAAGTTGCAAAGACAGAAATGGAACCGTTTTAATTATACCGGGAGAAATCATATTATATTAAAGCAAAGTTAGGTCCTTTTTAAGCATTTTAGAGAAGCTCTTAGCATATTATTCAAAAGCCAAATATCTTCATATTTCTGTCCTTTAGATCATGGGTCCCTAACGCCCAGTCTGCAGGACATTGGAACCAGGCTGCAGAAGCGACGACTTGTAAGTGTATGAAACTCCATTTGCATATGCATGGACTTAGGTTGCATGCATGGAATCATCTCCTCCCCCGAGACTCTGCCACCACTGCCAGTCCGCAGAGCTACTTTAGGTAACAAAAACCAGAATCAACAACTGTGAGTCTCATTACCTATGGACAGTATTTAGTAGTTTCATTCTGCTAGCATAAAGCACCATGTGTTAATAAGACACTTTATTTTCATTCTAGTAAAAGAGTCAGCTCTACTTCTTTAGTTCTGTTGGTGCAAGAACTTGTATAAACTGTTCCATAAGTATGTCAAAGACTCTGTACAATACCATTACTCTGTACAGGTAGTCATCGACTTATAACCATTCTTTTAATGACTGTTTGAAATTACAACAGCACTGAAAAAAGTGACTTATGACCAGTTTTCACACATGATCATTGCAACAACCCTATTATCACATGATCATAATTTCGGTACTTGGAAACTAGCATGTATGTATGATGGTTGCACTGTCCTGTGATCCTGTGATCAGCATTTGAAAATTTCCCAGCTAGCTTCTGAAAAGCAAAGTCAATGGTGGAAGTCATATTTGCTTAAAAATACCACATGATTCACAAATCCACATGGAGCTCTGTTTCCATCTGTCCTGTGTGCCATTGTTCTCTCCCTAAAGACTAAAGTGGACAATCTGAAACTTGAGCTGGCCACGAACAAGGAATGTATAAAGGAGGTGGTGACCCTTTGAGAACTGTATGCAACGGAATTTCATTTTGATGTATGCCGATTGGAGTACATTCAAAGTGACAATAAAGTTTTGTTATTGTTATGATTCACTTAACAACTGTGGCAAAAATGTTTGTAAAATGGGGCAAAAATCACTTAACAACTGCCTTGATTAGCAATGGAAATTTTGGGATCAACTGTGATTGTAAGTTCAGAACTACCTATGTTATTTGTTGCAATTATGGCTTTTGCTAAATGTCATTTCTTGGACTTATTCAGCTAGTATTACATACAATACAATACAATGGTATTTATGAATGTGTAGATGATATTGAAATGTTAGAAAGTGAAAGAAATTAATTTAATACTGCAAAAAGAAATATATACATTATATACTATTGTATAAATATTAAAATACAAATATACGGTAATATTATTTTCACTAGAGATATTCTACCAATCTTCCAAAGTATTTGTTGTTGTTAATTGCGAAGTCGTGTCTGAGCCATTGCGACCCCATGGACAACGTTCCTCCAGGTCTTCCTGTCCTCTACCATCTTCTGGAGTCCATTTAAGTTCACGTCTACTGCTTCAGTGACTTCATCCAGCCACCTCATTCTCTGTTGTCCCATTCTTCTATTGCCCTCAATCTTTCCCAGCATTAGGCCCTTCTCCAGTGAGTCTTTCCTGGAGAACATTAGGTGGCCAAAGTATTTGAGTTTCAACTTCAGGACCTGGCCTTCTAAAGAGCAGTCAGGGTTGATCTCTTCTATGACTGACCGGTTTGAACACCTTGCAGTCCAAGGGACTCGCAGGAGTCTTCTCCAGCACCATAGTTCAAAGGCCTCAATTCTTTGTCACTCAGCCTTTCCTATGGTCCAACTTTCACAGCCATACATTGCAAATGGGAAAACCATGGCCTTGACTATACACACTTTTGTTGGCAGGGTGGTGTCTCTGCTTTTTAGTATGCTGTCTAGATTTGCCATAGCTTTCCTCCCCAGGAGCAAGTGTCTTTTAATTTCTTGGCTGCAGTCCCCATCTGAGGTGATCTTGGAGCCCAGGAAAATAAAATCTGTCACTACCCCATCTATTTGCTAGGAATTGAGAGGGCCGGATGCCATGATTTTGGTTTTCTTAATGTTGAGTTTCAAGCCAACTTTTGCACTCTCCTTCTTCACCCGCATCAAGAGGCTCTTTAGTTCCTCTTCACTTTCTGCCATTAGAGTGGTATCATCTGCATATCTTAGGTTGTTGATATTTCTCCCAGCAATCTTAATTCCAACTTTTGATTCATCTAGCCCTGCCTTTCTCATGATGTTCTATGCATATAAATTAAATAGGCAGGGTGACAGTATACAGCCTTGCCGGACTCCTTTCCCAATTTTGAACCAATCAGTGGTTCCGTGTCCAGTTCTCACTGTTGCTTCCTGACCCGCATATAGGTTTCTCAAGAGACAAATAAGATGGTCTGGTACTCCCAGAGACATTACCCTGCCAACAAAAGTACGTATAGTCAAGGCCATGGTTTTCCCAGTTGCAATGTATAGATGTGAAAGTTGGACCATAAGAAAGGCTGAGCGCAAAAGAATTGAGGCCTTTGAACTATGGTGCTGGAGAACACTCCTGCAAGTCCCCTGGACTGCAAGATGATCAAATCGGTCAGTCCTAGAGGAGATCAACCCTGATTGCTCTTTAGAAGGCCAGATCCTGAAGTTGAAACTCAAGTACTTTGGCCACCTAATGAGAAGGAAGGACTCACTGGAAAAGAGCCTAATGCTGGGAAAGATTGAGGACAATAGAAGAAGGGGACAACAGAGAATGAGGTGGCTGGATGGAGTCACTGAAGATGGTAGAGGACAGGAAGGCCTGGAGGAACATTGTCCATGGGGTCATGATTGGTTGTACACAACTTCACAAGTAACAACAACTACTACTTTGATCCATATTCTAATGTGTGATACATTCAGTAATAATATTCAGTTTTATTCTTCAATATGATTTTCTTCTGAAAATGTCATTATTTCTTAAACATGTGCAGATAGAGTAATTAAGGTGTTGGACTAGGAGAGAGAACCCAGGTTTTAGATCTCCCTTGGGCAGGGAAGCCCCCTGGGTGACCTTAGCCAAGTGTTTTCTTTCAGCAAACCATTAGACTTTGCTATAAATAAGCTAGCTGAAACAATAAAACTCTTTCTCACATCATGCAATAAGAACTTCAACAAATACACTACAAAATCAATGGATCCTTGCAACCAAGCTGAACAATTCTCAAGATGACATGTACAAACGGGTTTAAAAGTGTAGACTCCTTTAAATTAATCCTGAAACTTTTGAATCCTTCTGTCAATCCAGGTGTATAAATCTTAAAATCTCTTAGCTTCTGATTACGTATTCATCATGCTTGATCATTCAGATGAGCTATCAACCAAAATATCTGGAAGGCACTTTGTTCCCTATGTGTATTCTATATCAAAACGTGTTGTTTTTTTTTAAATTCAGCTTGGAGAACCTGTTACAAAAAGAAAAAAAAACCTGGAACTGTGATTAAGAGGCAAAACTTAATAATATAAAATTTGCTGTGGTCAAGTGAACTTTTTTTTTTACACTTAATCTCTTGCTGAACCTCATCAAATTCTTGTGGAATCCCAGGTAAAGATGGAAAAACTTCATCTATAGCAGTGTATTGTCTCATACGTAGTCCTAGACTTATTATCTCATGTTCCTAGAATCTTCAAGAAAACAGCTATGCCAGTTTTAAATTATGTAAGAAAATACTTCATTATTGTTCTCCTCAGTTAGACAGTTTGCATTTAACTTTTTAATTAAAATTTCCTAGTGGCAACAGACATCACTAAGCACTCAGCACTAAGACATTTGTTTTACTCCATTGTTTCCTCTATTGACACCTAGACAAAAAAAAATCAGAATCTTATTGATATATTATTTTCACTTTCACTATTATTCAGAAGAGACATATAAAATATTTTTCTGTTTAAATCACAAAATATCACTTTGACATTTGTCCTCTGTGTGATTTTAGCACCAGAAGAAACTATTTTGGCAGTCAAAATGCTTTTACTGTCTAACAAACGGATATAGAAATTGCCTACCTTTGGTCCATAAGGAAACCAATGGAGGTCAATGTCAGGACAATGTAGCCAAGTCTCATGAGAAGAGTTACCTGTGATAACGTCTGTTAAAACAACAAGCAGACAAATTACTCATTTAGGTTAGCTCTCTGGAGAGATATTGTGTTCTAAACTTCCCAGTGAGGTAGTCTGAACTTTCAGTCTCAATTATATGAGTTTTTTACTGTCTGCTTTTTGAGTAGTTTGATACTTTAAACTTTACAACTGCAAATCCACTGCAGATTCTCTATTCCTCCTTCATGTCTTTAAGTTTCAAAGTTGAAGGTTACAAAAATTGGATATTTTCCTTCAAATAATTCTTTGCACAATATTACTCTTGAAAATAATTCTTTCACTCTTATTATGGTTTATTCTCCTGACATTATTTGAACCTTTAGTGACCTGAAACAAAGTGGTAGACCTGTTTTCTAAATAAATATCATATCACATATCTGCCTCCTTTCTCCAGCTTTTCTCTTAGTAGCACTAGATCTTTATATTTTCCAATCTGCATTCTCTGGAGAATATTAGCAACTGAAAAAAAAAAATCCTGTTAAAAGGAGGGGTGGAAGTATGGAAAGAAAATAAGTCAGACAGTTTAATGTCATGTGTATTTTTCTGCTTCTTAGATATTCAATATATTAAATAATACTATTAAGTAATATTATTTGAATCTGGACTCCTCATATTTGAATCAAGTGGAACATTAAGCATATTCAGTTCAATTCAGACACTGCTTATAATATACAAATGGAAAAATGGGAAATATGTGGTTGAAAAGATTGAAATTTATATTACATTATAGATTTTTTTATAAAATGCTGTACTGTTGGCAGAAAAATAATCTAGAATGTATAAAGAATGTGAACAACAGGACTATCTGTCATTTTACAATCACTCGGGAGTCACAATGGCCTTGAATGGATGATTTATGGCCATCGTAAAATTGATCACCTGACCGTATTTCAGGCATTTTGCAAACAGCTCACCTTGATGACTGGTTGTAGCATTGTGTGGTCATGTGACTGTGATTTGTGATGGGTTTTTTTGCCAGCTTCCAGCAAAAAAAAAGGCTTATGGCATTTTTTTAATGACCACTGCAAAAAAATGTTACATGGGTACTTCGATTTATGACCGCAATAAATTATGATTGGAGTTTTGGTCCCAATTGTGTTTGTAAGTTGAAGACTTCCTATAAAGGTTAATATTTAACTGAATTTTGGGACAGTTGGATAAGCAGTTTGAAAAAAATCCATGTAACACTGTTTTTATATATGATAACTGCAGTGAGATTATTATATGTACAACAGAAATAGTTGCCAATATCTACAATGAGGGATGATTGATGAAAATAACAGAACTTTCTAAAATTAAATTGTTTGATTAGAAAAAAAGAGAATATCTACATTTCTTAGTGACTGGAATCCCTTAAAGACTTTTTTTGTTTAAAATTAAAAAAAAATGTACTTGTGATTTATGATTTTGATGATTAGACAGTACAGCTTATCGAAAGAAGACAGTCATAAACATAGTGTTGATGATTTGAAAGCTATCATTTCTGAAAAGACATGGCAGCTGAGAGACTGGCAATCAACAACGATGCTGTTGAATATGAGCCTCAAATTCAGCAGCAGCACAAACTCTTTTTTTCTAGGTATGGAGAACTCATTAGGCCATCTGACCCAGGCCATTTCTGAGTGGGTTTGCTGAAGATTCAAAAGGCAGTCATTATCCCCAAAGTTTTAACTTCTATTAAACTACAAAAACAGATCCATTGCTTTAAATATGCACACTACTTAATCAAGTTATAAGCCAACGCAAATTTCTCATTTGTGCCAACATTTTGACCACAGATCCAATTTCATACTTTCTGATAAAAGTGATGCTAAGAGGATAGTACACTGCAATAATTATTTTCAGCACAATATAGTTACTAGCACATTTTACATAATTAAATACACAGTGATTTAGACTAAACTTGTTTCCCTTACAGAAAAATAGAAGTTTAAATTGGGAAGTTGCTTACAATACAGGGAGTGGAATGGTTTATAGTACTGCTCAACAAAATTGCAGAAATGAACTATCACCAGTCTGACAAACTAATACAACAATCCCACTTACAAAGGTAAACACAAGATACATCACTGTTCAAAGTAGAAGCTAATTTGGTATTCTGCTATATGATGAGCATATTTCAATACTTAGCCAAACCACTGTGGTTTTATCAAGAATTGTGAAACTGATGTAATATATGTTACCTGCCTACTGAGAACAAGAAGGGAAAAAACCCTATACACCAACATATACCGTATATACTCGAGTATAAGCCGAGTTTTTCAGCCCATTTTTGGGGCTGAAAAATGCCCCCCTCGGCTTATACTCGAGTCAGCGGCGGCGGCGGCG